ATCTCTGCCTCTCCCTCCTCCTCCCCCTCCACCTCCAACAACAACCGCCATTCGCCACTAAGTGGCGGTGACGTCACCACGACGCTTGTGCCAGGCTAGGTGCACCTTGAGGCCACGTGAAGCGTCGAACGCCCACGGGCAGGAGGTCACGGGGCAGACCCAGCAGGTGCCACGGGTCGACTGACTGAGATGACTGGCTGATGCACCACCTGTGCCCCCTACTGTGTTAACTTACTGCATTTTAGCCACCCGGCACTCCGCTCATTGTTGTGAGCGTCGCTCCTCCGCCCTCCGTTGTTGTTGGAGGGCGACTACCTCCAATTGCCCAGTAGCAGCGTCCTTCACGAGCCTCCTCCACAGAGGCCGATCTTGACACTGCTGGTACCGGTCATCGGCAAGTCCACTCAGCTCCACGTCCTCCTGTACCGCATCACTCCATCTCTTCTCTAGCCCATGCCGCGCCCGTTTAGCCCCCTCGATCCGGCCGAACAAAAGCTGTTTCGGCATGCGGTGGCTGGGCATGCGGGCTACATGACCCAGCTAACGCAGCCTTGCCTGCCGGGGGAGATCACCGTAGGATTTGTGAGCTCCTCACACAATCCAGCCTGGTTAAACCCAGGATGGATCGTTGGCAGGCAAGCTTAAATGTTTCTAACCGGCGAAGATGTTCCATTAGGGGGGTCCACGTTTCGCAAGCGTAGAAAAGGAAGGGGCATGACTATGGCCGAGAAGACCTGAAGCTTAGTGCGGAGCGACAGACCAGGTAGCTTCCACACAGCGTTACGCAACCGATGAAAAGATATTGTCACTCGAATTATTCGGAGTGAGACCTCCGCTGCCAAACCGGAGCCGGTCATAAGCACACTGCCCAGGTATGGGAAACTCTCCACTCTCTCCACAACTGCCCCATCACCGATTGGGAGTTGTGGGGGTGGAGTGTCCGATGGTACAAAATACCCAGGCAGATGCTTAGTTTTGGTGGGGCTGATGGTAAGGCCCCATCTCTTAGTGGCACGCTCCAGTCTCAGCAGCATCGTCTCCAACTCCTCCTCTGAATGAGCAGCTATTACCAAATCATCAGCATACATAACGTGGTTGACCAATAGGGAGCCATCCCTTGACCGCACCCGGGCATCGATCAGCCTACCATTATATCTGTACCAAATGGAAATTCCCCCGCTACAGCTATTTAAGGCTTCATAAACTACGTGGTCAAAATAGATTATGAATAATGTGGGAGTCGGAGGACATCCCTGTCGCACCCCAAGGTGTACAGGGAATGGCTCTGGCTCCCGGCCACGTAGTTTTACCCAGGCCCGCTCACCATCATGAAGGTCCTTAATGATTGTGAGCAGAGGGTCAGGGACTCTGAAAGCACTAAGAACAACCCAGAGCCCAGGCCTACTGATGGTATCATAGGCCTTAACCAGGTCAATAAAGCAGAGATGTAGGTCTTGTTGGAATTCCCTATACCTCTGCTGTAGCAGACGCACAGAAAATATGGCATCTGTGCAAGACCGCCCTTTCCTGAAACCGCATAGGGGCTCCACCCTCCCACAGCATTTTGCTTGGGAGATCATCTCTGCCTGGTGCCTTTCCTGGTCTCAGGCTCCCCTTCAGTACTTCCTCAACAGATGGCACCTCAGCCAGCCACTCACAGGTGGTGACTTCTTCTTTCAATATTCGAGGCACCGCAGCCTCAGCAGGGTCATCCCCACTTTGCCCCCTAATGTTTTCTGGACCGTGTACCCAATGTTTTCCACGCTGAGGGATATCTCTTCCCCAGGACCTCACAGAAATGCTCAGCAAATCTGCAAACCTGTTCCTGGGGGTCGGATATTGAATCGCCGATCTTTTCCCTAATGATGGTAATAGGTGTGGTGCTGCAAGTTACTTTTTCGATGTAATTAAAGAGCGATTTGTGATAGCGTGCCACTGAGGCAGATTCCATCTCCTCGGCATCCCGAAACCACCACCCGTCCTTGCAGTGCCTCACGGATCTCCGAACCTCCGAGAAAAGGCTTTGGTAAGCCTCCTCATTCTCTGACGTGGGATGCTGCAGACGATGAGAGTGGGCCTGTCGCTTATTTCCAACCAGCCTGAACACCTCCTCTGTCAGCCAGGGTCTCTGGGGAGGTCTGGACCGCGTACCCAATGCAGCCAATGCAGCTGCATGAGCCACAGTCCTAAACCTCGCCCATTTACCCTCGACATCAGGAGGAGTCGGGGACGATGCCAACCCCAGCCGCAAGCGATGATTAAATTCTTGCTTGCAACTTTTATCAGCTGAGACCAGGCCACTTTAGGTTTGAATGGGGTCCTGGGTGTACACCCACCCCCAAAGTGGAATAATGGCAGGCGCATCTTACAGATGACTAGTCGATGGTCAGTGGGCAGATCAGCTCCAGGTTAGGTCCTGGTGTCAAGGACATGGGCTCGCATCCACTGGTCCGTCACTATGTAGTCCAGCAGATGTTCTTGCTTGGACCCGGCATGCATC